TGGTTCGGTAAGTTAAGCATCTGACTTTGGCTCAGGTCATGATCTCACAGTTCATGAGTTCGAGCCTCACGTTGGGTTCTGTGCTGACAGCTGGGAGCCTGGAACCTGCTTCTGATTCTGTGTCTCCTTCTCTCTCTGCCCATCCCCTGCTCCTGCGCTCTCTCAAAAGTAAATGAACATTAAAAAAAAAAATTAAAAAGAATTTAAATGACAGGTTGTTAGTTTTCCTCAGTTTAACCAGGGGCAGAGTATCCTCTGAGAACACGAGCTGGGTGCCCGCCTCGCTGCATTGCGTCAGGGAACAGCCTGTGGGAGGGTGAGTTGGTCTCTGCCCTCGGTCTGACCCTGGTCCTGGCCTGTTTTGATGTCCCAGGCAGCTTCCGCTCCTGGGACCCCTGCCATCATGGGGCCTGGAGCTGTGCCCATCCTCTCGGGACCGTGTCGTGGCAAGGGGCTCCCAAGGTCAATATCGGTGTGGACCCCCTGCATCAGCGCAGAGCAGGGGGCCTTCCCCGCAGACGCAGTCTGAAGGGAAACGTGTGGGGAACGTGCAAATAGGGTGGAAACAAAACCAAGCTGTCCATAAAAACTCCGACGTCTTGGTAAGTGGGGTCGGCTCACACGGTCATAGCGCACGTTATAATTTCCGGGTTCTCCCTGATTTCTCTGCCAGGACTTCCTGAACACCTTCTCCCCCGACGTCTTCCGGCTCTTCTGCATGCGAAGCAGCTACAGGTCAGGTGAGGCCGCGGCTGGGGGCCAAACCCGGTGGCTTGAAGGACCCACACTCAGGCTGAGGAGGAAGCACAGCCTTGTCAGTGTGGCTGCCCTCGTGCCTGTGGGTTTGGGTTCTGAGTGCAAGCCCAGCGCTCGGCCAGAAGATTCTAGAAGCTTGTGTCTTGGAGGCCGTGGGTTCTCCAGTCAGCCCCTGCTCTGCTCTGTGTGGGTCTGGATGGGGTCCCCCAGTGACCCCCTCCCAGGTGGAGAGTGCGTTCTCACTGTAAAACGCTGAGTTTGAGGGCCTGTCCTGAAACACAGGCCCCGTGTCCCCATCGCCGACTGATCCCCCAAGCAGTGGTTCGGGGCCCAGGATCTCCTGTCCACAGGAATGAACCCCTCGGCCAGGCGTACTGGGGGTGGTTCTCCGTGTCTTCCAAGGTGGGGAGGCCCGGGGTGGGGCGGACCCTCGCGGTCCCGGGGGCACAGTGGGGCAGCGGTATCCGCGTCTGCTGCTTCACTTCTGGCTGCGAAGTGCAGTGGCTCCCCAGGTGACCGCACGTGTCCCCTCCGCAGCCGTGGACTATAGTGACGGCACCATGCTGGAGGCCAAGCACCTCCTCCTGGCGGCAGCCGCGTTCATCGAGGACGCCCGGGCCTACATGAAGGGGCAGCTGGTGTGCGGCCCCGTCGGGGAAGGCCTGCTGTGGGAGAGGTAGGTGCCCCCCATCCGCCCCAGGGTCCTGGGTGCTCGATGTGGGGCTGCCGAGAGGGCAGAGGCTTCTGGGGGCTGATGCGGCAGGCGCCTCGGGCGAGTGGTGGTCCTGCTGGGGAGGGACGAGGACGCCCTCAGGGGGCGGCTGTGCAGGGGTGGGTGACACCTGTGCCCAGACGGGGCGCTCACTGGTGTGCTGGGGAGTGACGCACAGAGGTTCCAGGCGCCTCGCTCCGTGGTTTGGTAGGGCTGGCGGGTGCGAGGCCGAGTGGAGGGGGGTGGTCTCAGTGGCTGAGCTCAGACCTGATCGGGAGTCGACCTGCGGGTCTGCATGAGTGCGTGTCCCCCGCCCCCTGCTGTTGCACGCGGGTGTCTATGGTCACAGGGCAGCCGAGGTAAGTATTAAGCGGGGGACGTGGGGGGACCCCCGACCCTCCAGGTGGAAATCGCCTGGTTCTGCTGCTTCGTTAAGTGGTTAGATGTGTTCACAAGACCAGAGATTGACATCAGAGATGGAAAGGAGCTGGAAAGACCCTGGAAACTGGGGAAGTGCTTGTCTGGTTAGGAGGAAAAGCAGCAAAGCCTGGAGCACTGGGACAGGCGG